CTGCTCAGCTCGGGCTGGACTCGAGCCGCTGTTGCTCAGAGCTCAAACTCTTGAGCGAGCTCTTAACCAACTGAGCCACTCGGCCGGCCCGGGAGGCTACTTTTTATAGCGAAACTTCCTGCCCACATTCTCAGTTCGGTCCATTTTATGTAAATGAGGTGTCCAAATTGTACAGTTATGATTGGATGGGGCAAGTCTCAGTCTGTTGGTAGAAAGACAGAACCAGGGTTTCCCTGCAGTAGTTGACTGGCATAAACAAGTGGGGCATACATAGCGCAGGAAGCAGAGAGTTCAGTCAGACGTTGTTTCTGGCAGAGGACGTGAGAAGCCCATCAGCAAATGGCTGCTAGACTCTTATTAATTATAAAATTTGGGCCCTCAGTTGTGCATCTCAGCAAATGAATTCCTTCTTGGGTTCACATCAAATGAATCTTGCTTCTCCAGGTCCACAAAGCCCTATATACCCCCCTCCTAAGTTGTATTCTCTCTCTCCCCTTACCAGGAGTACCCACAATTCTGATATTATGTTTATCATTCTCTGGCTTTAAAAAAAAAAAAAAACCACTTTGCCAAATGGGTATTTCTAAAAAATATGTTGTTAACAGGTTTATATAACTTTGAACTTTATGTAAATAAACTTACTCTATTTTTTGTTCTTTAGCTACTTGCTTTTTCCACTCAACATTAAATTCATGAGATTCATCCAGTTGATACATATACCAGTTGTTCGCTGCTTTTTATTGTTATAAATGCTTTATTCTTCTTTCAATGATCACTTGTTTCTCACTTTTTGTTATTATAGCAACACTGTCATGAACATTTTGTACCTGCCTTCTGGTGTACATGTACAGAAGGAGTTTCTCTTAGACGCTGAGCCATAAGAGCCATGCATCCTTAACTTTACAAGATAATGTCAGAAGTGATTGGACCAGTTTATATTCCAGCCAGCATTTACCATTATTCCATACCCTTACCATAAGTGTCTTTTTGTTTGTTTTGTTTTTGTTTTTTACTTTGAAATAGTTATAGATTCACAGGAGATTATAAAAATACATGCAAGGGAGATCCTGTATATTTTTAACGAGTTTCCCCCAATGGTAACATGTGGCATAAATATAATATAAAATCCAAGAAATTGACATTGGTATAATGCATAGAACTTATTCAGATTTCACCAGTTTTGTATTCAATTATTTGTGTGTGTGTATGTGTGTGTATATGTATAGTTTTATCACGTGTAGATTCATGTAGCCATCACCACAATCAAAGATACAGAATTATTCCACCACCATAAGACCCTTTCACACAATCCATTTATAGCTACACATCCCCCTCACCTACCCTTGGCATCTTCTAATCTGTTCACCAGCTCTATAATTTTATTTCAGGAATGTTATATAAATGGAATCATAGAGCATGTAACCTTTTGAGATTGGCTTTTGCACTCAGCCAGTTCCCTTGAGATCCATCCAAGTATCAACACATTCTTTTTTTTTCTGTGTAGCATTCCATGTTGTAAATGTACCACAGTTTAACCATTCACCTGTTGAAGGAGAGTTGGGTTGTTTTCAGTTTGGAGCTATCACAAATAAAGCTGTTAGGAAAATTTGTGTACAGTTTTGTATGTGAACATAAGTATCTTTCTGGGAGAAATGTCAACGAGTGCAATTGCTGGGTCATAAGATAAATATATGTTTACTTTTACAAGAAGCATCCGAAGTTGCTGTATTATTTTGTATTCACACCCACAGTGGATATGAATAATCCAGTTTCTCTATCCTTGTCAGCATTTGGTGTTGTCAGTATTTTTATTTTGACCATTCTGATAGATGTGTAGTGATATTTCATTGTAACTTGAATTCTCCTAGTGGCTAATGTTGCATATCTTTTCATGTGTTTATTTGCCACCTGTTTGTCCTCTTCAGTGAAATCTCTGTTTTTTGCCTGTTTTCTGATCAGATTGTTTATTCACTGTTTAGTTTTGAGACTTCTTCATGTCATAAATGTTTTTTAAAATGTTTTTGTTTACTCTTTCCCTTGTTAATATTTAGAAAACTAAATGTTTAAAAAGAGGAACATCTCAGCAAGTTTACTCAAAGTTTGGATCATTGCCTGTTGTGGCTGAGAAGGTGAGAGGAGCAAAAATGAAGATGCTTATTTAAAAAAAAACAAAAAAAACTCATGCTTTGTTGTAAGCTCTATTTAAATGCCATTAGTCATTGGAAATTGTTCTCAGCTATTTCTTTTCCTCTAAAGTCTGCCAGTGCAAGTCATTCTGTAAATGCAAGTATGCAAAACCTCCTACAGTTGATGCAACATTATGGGCCACATATTCTTCGAAAACCTGCTGAAGTTGCTGAGCCTAGATGTCTCTACAAGCCTACTAGAACAGTTTCCCAGTGTAAAGCTGTACCTCCTGACCCAGAAAAATCTGTTTCCATTTGTGACAATTTGTCTGAACTTCTGATGGCAATGCAAGATGAGCTAGACCAAATGAGTATGTAAGTATTTTTATTCTTTATCAGAAGAAGTAGCAAGATATTTAGGTATCTTTTTTTCTTTTAGTTTTAAGAACAATGCCACTTAGAAATTCTTAATGGCCTTACTTAGTTAGCCATTTGGACTTATTTTGATCTGCACAGATTTGTTGTCACTGAGTTTTCGTTGTATTTATTGATACTACTGTGTTTAAATTTTCAGCTGTGTGTAAGTACTACTTTTCCAATCTAAGGAGTTTCTATATTCCCAAGATCTGAACTTACAGACAGATATTACTGTCATTCTAACATATGGGGTCTGGTGATCTTAAATTATAACTCAAAAGCTTTTATAAGAAAGATTCTCCTTTTTTAATAATCGTTTGGTTAAATGAATTATTTCATTAGACAAATAGGAATGCAATTTCTTGTTTTAGACTTTGACTAATCTGCATTACAAGTAAACAAAATTCTGTATGGGATACATATTTTAAGCCTCAATTTTAAATACATATTCAACAAAAATTCTACAAAATATGTGATTTGGCTGTCCAGCTAGTTGAACTAAGACCTCTGTAGAAGATATAACTAATTCTATTGACAGTATTTCTTTGAGTAGGCTATCACCTAATTTAGGGATTCTCAGGCAAATAATCCTATACCTGGAATTCTTCCAAAGAGCCTACATTAATAATTCCAAAGTTGAAACTAAAGAGAGTTCTTTAATGCCTCTAGATAAGGACATCAGAATATTTTACTATATTTAGCTACGAATATCAAGAATTCAGATGTTTTTTAAGGTTCTTTAAGACCCTAAGTCAGATATTTCTACATGTATCTAATCTCAAATCACAAGAGCCTGTTTATATTTACCATAGGTTTAATTAGATAATCCTAACTATAGAGACTGTCTTTGAAGATTAATATTTAACTGACTGAAATTTATGGCAAAAACATATACCATAAGCTGTAATAGTGCTTGATATTTGCTTTCTTTCATAGGGAGCACCAAAAACTACTGAATCAAATGGAGGAAACTGAAAGCCGTTCAGTCTGTGAAGACATAGAATGTGAACTAGAACATTTAGTCAAGAAAATGGAAATTAAAGGAGAACAAATTTCCAAACTGATGAAGCATCAAGACAGTGTAAGAAGGCTTTATTTAGTAAAAGATTTTTTTTTTTAAGGTTTTTTTTTTTTAAGTTTTTATTGGGGATTTAGGGGATGGGAACAGCAGTGGGGAATTTAGGGAAGGGGAACAGACAAGTTGCTGTCGTTTTGTTCTTCAGTCTAGTTGTGGAGGACGTTGCTTCACTGGCCCATGTGGGCACCATCATTGCTCTTCCCAGGCGAGGCAGATCAGTCGCCGGCTTCTGGATGGCCACTTACGGCGGCTTGAGGGCCGCTCACGCTGGCTGCTGGCTACACACGGTAGCCCATGGCAACCCACTGCAGCAGGAGCTGCAGCCTACGCCATCGCCGGCGACTCACGGCAGCCCAGCTCCAGGTTGAGCTGTTGTTCAGCATCTTAGCTGTAAAGGGCAGTGTCACTGGCCCTCATATGTGGGATCCGAACCAGGGCCCTCTGGTGTCCCAAGCCAGCTCTTAACCAACACGCCACTCGGCCGGCCCAAAACTATGTATATTTAACTTTATAAACTTGATGTTCATTCCTAGCACAAAATCTTTGCTGTTATCACCTGGAAGATCCTTCTCCTCTCTGTTCTGTAGTTTTTACCCATTTCACATCCCCCATAAACCTTCCCCTCAGCTTTCTCAGTGCACATTGATGTTGTCCTACTTTGGCTGCCTCAAACATACAGTTTTCGTGCTACTCAAAGTTATCCCGGCTTAAATTATTCTCTAGTTGTCACATACATCATCTTCTTTCATTAATAAGAACAATAAGCTCCTTGAGAGCAAGGATTGTTTTATTCATTATATTTCTATCTGACTAGCACAGTGTTAGGCCTATAATAAGTATTCAATTAATAAAAACTTAATGAGCTTTTTAATTTCATGTAATCTTTAAATTATCAATCCAGTCCATCAGTTGTAGGGTATATTTTTAATGTTTTTGACTAAAATGTTAGATTTTTTTTTTTTCTCTCCAGGTCCGTAAACTGCAGCAAAAAGTTCAAAACTCAAAGATGAGTGATGCTTCATGTATTCAACAAGAAGATAGCAACCCTAAAGAATCAAAGAACATAAAAAATAGCCCCAGAAAATGTTCGCTAACTAACTCTCTTCAGAAGAACGGCAACTTTCATCCAGTACGAGTCCATAATCTTCAAATGAAATTGAGACGAGATGATATCATGTGGGAACAGTAATACAGTAGCAAAACTGTCACCTTAAATGAACTTTGTCAATGAGATCTTAAATTGTCTAAAGTGGTTTTAATTTAATATATCTTTATGAAATTTTGAATTATGTTTCCAGCCTCTATAAAGTGTCAAATTGTAGTATTTTTTTAATTAATGCCTAATGACTTCCTCGGAATCCCAAATAATAAATGATTGCTTTTTTGTTTTTCTTATTGACTGACATACCTAATCTCACCGTATTTTAGAAACATGGTTCACCTTTCAGATATCTTAAGTAAAATCTAAGAAATTACACTGGGTTGATGGTACTTAAAATAGAGTTAAATTTGCAATACCATTTGAAGTACCATTCCACTTTTTCATTTAGTAGGCTTGTACCCTTAAGAACCAACATAAAATGAACAGAGTATGGAAAGGTCTTTAAACTTTACTAGTACTTCCCTCCCTATCTTGTTTTAGAACTGAAATGCTTTTCTTTTTTGGAAAGGAAAAAGCTTTGTGAACAGGCCTTTAGCCCAAGGTTCTATGACAATTACAAATAAAAGCCCACTTAATTTTTAGATGACAACTCAACTACAGAAGCTTTCCTCGCCTATTCTCATTCTTTTTTACAAATCTAGTTTTACAACAACTTTTGATAACTTTCAGTTTTTTCATTATTCATATATATATGTATGTATATATATATATATACACACACACACACACATATATATATAAAGTATAGGAAGAAGTTGGGCATTTCTTCATTCAGCAAAAAATACAGGGTTATATGGTACAATCTTTTTTATATATTTTTAAATCAGTGATGTAATGAGATTTCTTTGTGTGTGTGTGCTTTTTTTTTATTCCTCACTGAAACTCTTTAGGGCAACTAGAGAATTGGAATCATCAGCTGAAGTAAAAATAGAAGGCTGACAAAAAAAGTGTAATAGAAGTGAGGAACTCAAAAGATAGGGTAGCAGTTTAAGAGATGGTGATTCCAAAGGGACAGAACTGGAGGTACATCTTTACTGAGTCCACAGCTGGGGGCATGTTCAAGCTATAGGTGTGAAAGAATTTTTGGTCAGGACCTCGCGAAGCTAGGAAGAGCAATTTTAAAAGACAGTCCTGAGTCCTAGGAAATTCCCCAAAAGTATATGTAGAAGAAAGTGGATGATTATGGTCCTTCTGAGGAGGGGGTAGGGAGGAGAACTAGGATTCATTCTCAGTGAGAGAAGATGTGCAGTTACATCTTTCCATACCTGAAGTGGGGAGATGACTGAAAATGGGCAGGTTGTTACTTGGAATTGTCCTTGAAAATAACTAGTGGCAGAGATACAAGTTTCTCTCCCTCTGGTTGAAACAGTACGTGTGTCCTTCCACTTGCACTCCCTGTCCCTCTATCAGCTCCTTCAGCCCCGGAGATGTTACACAGAGTGCTTCATCTAAACTCAGTTTTGTCACCTCAGTTTCTGCTTTGTCTTTCATTCTCAAGAATGTGAGTTCTTTTTTTTTTTTTTTTTAGTTCAGGTGTACAAAACAATGTAATAGACATTTATACCCCTCACAAAGTGACAACCCCCCCAATCTACTACCCCTCTGACATTGTATGTAGCTGTTACTCTATGTCCTTCTTTACGCTTGCTATCTCTTTGTTGAAATTCTCACTAAGTTCCTTACGCATTTTTATAATCAGTGTTTTAAACTTTGTCTCTTGTAGGCTGGTTATCTCCATTTTATTTAGTTGTATTTCTGGAGGTTTCTCCTGTTCTTTTATTTGGGACATGTTTCCTTTTTTCTTCATTCCGGCTGTGCTCTGTGTCTGATTCTCTGATTTTATGTATTAGGTAGATCTCTTATGTCTCTCAGTCTTTGCTGGGTGGCCTAATGTAGTACATATCATGTGTAGTCCAGTGGCACAGTCTCCTTGATTTCCTGTGTGTGTTCCAGGAGTGTCCCTTGAGTGTGTGGTGTGTGTTCTGTTATAATTGAGCCTTGATGCTTTTGATGCATCAGTAGATGGGATTGACTCTCAGGCTGACTGTGAGGATTGGCTATGCCCACAGTGTATGAGCTGTTGTGTGGGGGCTGACCCCTCAGGAGGATTCACTCCCATAGGCTCTTGTGCCTACTGAGACACACACACACACACGCCCCGAGTGTGCTGCTTGTAGGGTTAACCTGGTAGTTTTCTGGTGTTTTCTGAGGCCGGCCTCTTGATGTGTTGTTTCTGGTGTCTCGGGAGGGGCTCCCATGCAGGCTAATTTTAGCCTTGCCTGTTACCAGTCTGCGGCTACCTGATAGAAGCCACAAAGCTATATGTGGTTGGCTGCTGCCTGTACTGGAAGCATATGGGGGTGGCCTCACTGTGAACTGAGGCCAGCTGCCACCAGTAGTGGGCCTGAGGAAGCTTAGCAAAAGGCCCAGGGCCCCCTAGGCTATTGTTACCCACCTGCTGCCCATGAGGTCCATCTATTGAAAGAGCTTCCTTAGGTGTGCAGGCTGGGGTGATTGACCTGTTGTTGACAGTGCCCTCAGTCATGCAGCACTAGCTGGGCAGGTTGGAGTCCACGGGAGTCATGAGATGTGGCCAGTGGTTTTTACAAAGTTAATGCAGATTGAGTTATGCCAGTGCCTGGCCTCTGACTACTTCACGAAATGCCCTTAGAACATCACAATGAGCTACTGCTTGCCTCAGCTCGCAAATTCCTGAGAGCTGACTAAGAGTGGCGACGGCTCAGGCTTTGGGTCACTGTCCACCACCAAAATCTCCCTGGGCCGTCTGGCTTTCCACCGCTGTAAAAGTCCTTCGCAGCTTGTGGGGCGGGATTGGCCACTTAGGCACCCAGAATGCCACTGGCAATGCAGCTTTAGGTGGGCAGGGCGGTGTTCCAGGGAGCTAAGGGGTGTGGTCAGTGGTTTCTACAAAGTCAGTGCAGCCCCCACTCCCACACAAGTGCTAGGCATGCGACCAACCCTCAAAAATGCCCTGAGAACACTACAGCCAGCCACCGCTCATCTCAGGCCCACAGGTTCCCAAAGGCTACCCAAGAGACGATATGGCGCAGGGCTTGGGTTACCGCCAACCAGCAAATGTTTCTTGGTCCACAAGGGCCTGCAGCCTGGTAAAAAAGTTTCTGCAATCTGTGGGGCAGGGCCAGCAGCCCAGCAGTCATGAGTGTCCCGGGCGATACAGCACCAGCTATGTTGGGGGTGGGGACCCAGGGTGTCCACACCAGACCAATGTGGCCCCAGACTTGACCCTTTGGGGGCAGGCCTAACGAAAAGACGGCACCCTCCTGTAGGCCACACGTGTGTCAGGCTCCACACAGGGATAACAATGGCTCCTGTCCCTCCAGCTCCTGCCTCGAAGCCACACAACTTAGTCCTTCCCCTCACATTCCTGGGCCTCCCAAGCTGCTGCCCCTCCACCAGCGACCAGCTGAGTGTTTGCAAGCGAGTGAGTCTGTGTGCAGGTTCTATAAAGAGAGTGTCTGGGGTTCTAGCCATCTTCCAGCCCACCAGGACAGGCAGACAGAGTCCTCGCTGATTTTCACTCTCAGATGCTGTGGGTAGTCCTCTTCCCAGCTCAAGACCTCTCGGCTGGGAAGCCTGGCATGGGCCTGGGACCCCTCCCTCTTCAGTGGGGCCCTCTGCCACTGAGGTGTCCCTGTTGTTGTTCAGCTACCATCCATGGGTTCAAGGCCAGCCTGCTTCGCATCTCCCCCCACCCCCACCAGTCTCAATGTGGCCTATTCTTTATCCTTATAGTCTAATGATGATTTTTGAGGTTGATTGTTCTATAATTTATAATTTTGGTGTGATCCTGGGATGCAGTAGGCTTAGCATTTACTTAATCTGCCATCTCGGACCTCACTAAGAATGGGAGTTCTATAGTGTATACTTAGCAAAAAAACTCACCAGGACCGTAATGCAGCTCTATCTTTCTGTGCCTTTGTTTTCTGTGCACTTAAGAAGACGGCGGAATGTATCTAGTTTATCAGTAGCGAAGTCATTACTTGTGAAAATGTATTTTTAAAACAAAATTTTAAAAAAATAATGTCATTTTAGTAACACTGAATATTTCAATTAAGAATTTAGAATTTTCTTGCAAAATCAATGTAATGTGGTAGGAAAAACATGATTTCAGAATTGGAATAGTTTGGTTCAAATTGTGACTCCACGATTTAGTAGCTTCACAATCAAATAACCTTTTGGAGTCTCCGTTTTTCATTTGTAATGTGGGGATTATATTACCTCCTACCTCACAGGGTTGTCGTGAGGAGTAAATGAAAGCACGTGAATGAACCCAGCAGAAGGGTTGGCACTGAGTAAAAACTCTAAATGTTCAATCTGAGTGGCCCCCCAAAAAATATTGTCAAGAACCTAAGTTTAAAAGGCTTAAAGCATGAAAGCAAGAGCTGAAATGTATTCTTCATAAAAGTGAGAATATTCTAATTTACTTATTTTTTTGGGGGGGGAGGGAGCTGTTCCTGTTTTTTCTTTTTTTGTGTGACTAAGAGGAAATTCGCTTTGGCTTGTTCCCTGGCTCAGGTTTCTAGCAGGAGAGGTTAAAGAATACAGTGCTACCGTGGTGCAGAAATTCATAATCAAACAGCAACTTGGTTTGGAGTCTGTTTTGGTTATTGGGGTGACATTTCTTACTGAGACAATAAAGAATGTTGCTCCATCACAGCTACTGAACTAAACATTTGTCTATTCTCACAGACGGCTGCTTGCCAGAGCCTTTGACTTCTCAGGGGGTGGAGCAAACGATTTCCTTCCTGGACTGGGCAATCTGTGGTCAGTGTACAAGCGTTGCTGTAGCAACCCTGCAGCTGTGCTCTGTCTGGCAGAAACTCGGTAGGATATCATTGATTTTGTTCACTTAAGTGAAAAGCAGGTTTGTTTGTTTTTTATTTAATCAGAAATTGAAAAAGTAAAATTAGAACTTTCTAGCCAATACAAGTCTCAACTTTGGTGAAACTGAAACTAGAAAGTTCGAGTGGTTAAAAACAACAGGTATGGTGAATATTCTAATCCTGGAAATAGGAGTTGGAATCTTGAATTAACTGTACTTGTTCGGGTCATTGGCAACCCAGCCATTTTTATTAGGTTGTAGCTAAACATAGGAGGGTTGAAGGGAAATGCTCAGTTTGCAGCAGTAGAAGATTAAAAGAGATACTTAATGTACTGAGCTAGCTGTTTGGGATGGTGCACTTAAAAATTATTTTTGAG